CCCAGGAGGGCGATGGCCGGGGCTTGAAGTGCGGCTTTGCCACGCGCCGGCTCTCTGCTCACAGCGGGGCTTTACTGCCGTAGCAGCAGCAGCGCACATTTGCATCGGGTGGTCGACTGTCGCTTTGCGTGCATTAACTGCTTTGGGGCTTGCTCATACTCCCACTTTATAGATGGGAAAACTGAGGTTCCAGCCCGGCCCTGGCGTGTTCCGCCCCGCTGCACGCCTCTGCCTCCTGGACAGGACACGCGAGGAGGCGGGCGTGGCCACCTGGTTTGGGGACGGCGGGATGGAGGGGACTTGGGGCAGTCCCTGGAGGCGGCCGGCTGAGCCTGGCGGAGGCCGTGTCGGGAGGGAGAGCAGAGCGGGACTGGGGAGGTTGCGGCACCTCGTCCGGCGTGGGCAGCTGGTGGGGACAGCCCGGGAGGCGGTGCTGGCGCCCGCTGTCGGGTGGGAGGTGTCGCCGTCGGTCCCGGGAGCCAGGAGCCGTGCCGCTGACCCGCCGGCCTCCCCGCAGGGAGTTCCGGCACAAGAGCAACATCACCTTCAACGACAACGACACGGTGTCCTTCCTCGAGTACCGCAGCTACCAGTTCCAGCCCGACAAGTCCCACGGCTCCGAGAGCGACTACATTGTCATGCCCAACATCCTGGTCCTGGTGAGGCTCGCGGGTTCTTGCCGTGCGGCCTGGCTGGTCTCCCACGCCTGGCCTCCAGCCGCCCTCTGGCCGGGGCCTCCCAAGGTGCTGGGATGACAGGCGAGAGCCGCCACACCCAGCTTGTGTTCTTTTAACAAAATGAGCCGAGAGTCGAGGCAGTTTCTCCAGAAAAAAGCAAAAATTAAAAATAAATTTGCCCCCATTCAAAGGACCTAGATTCGGAGTGGAACAGATATTTGGGACCCCAGGTGTTTGGGTAGGAGGTGGGGGGAGCCCCCACGAAGACTCGCTTGGGTTCACGTGGCCGTCAGACGCGCTCCAGAGGGTCTCAGGCAAAAGGGAACTTCTGGGCTCCTGATACAGAAGGACAGGCGCTGGGCAGGCTTCAGGCGCGGCTTCATCCAGGCTGCAAATGGGGCCATAAGGGCTGCACTCCCCAGGGTCGTGGCCAGCAGAGGGCCTCCCCACCTCGCCCCCCAGTCACTGCAGAAGGTGTCTTAGAACTTGCGGGCTCCGATTGGGCCACAGACACGTCCTAGCCAGTCACGGTGGCCCAGGCGGGGACGGGGGCTGTCGGGCGTCCCTGATTGGCCGGGCCTGAGCCGTGGGCCCGCCCCCGGGACTGGGGGCGAGGTGGGGGGGCTTGGAGGAAGGCGACCAGTCCGGTGCGGGCGGGGCCTTCGACCGCGGTGTCCCCGCAGGGCGCCGCCGTGATGATGGAGCACAAGCCCATGAGCCTGAGGCTGCTCATGACCCTGGCCTTCACCACCCTGGGCGAGCGCGCCTTCATGAACCGCACGGTGGGCGAGATCATGTGGGGCTACGAGGACCCCTTGGTGCACCTCATCAACAAGTACCTCCCGGGCATGTTCCCCTTCCAGGGCAAATTCGGGCTCTTCGCCGAGGTAGGTGTGGCCCGGGGAAGCCGGACCTCAGGCCTCTGTCTGGTCCTGAGCCGGCGGGGTGGCGGTCCAGGGGCTGCCCGTGGGAAATGGCCCAGGACCGTCCTCAAACTGGCTCGAGCCAGATAGGCGAGTTTGGGGCTCACTGACCGGTCACTCTAGGGTTGGATTCAGGTACAGCTTGGTCCAGGACCAAGTGACATAACTGGGACTTAGCTGAAAAAACTGGAGGCACTGGGGGGGTGTGGTGGCTCATGCCTGTAATCCCAGCGCTTTGGGAGGTTGAGGCGGGAGGACTGCCTGAGGCGGGAGGGTCGACCGAGTCCAGGAGTTCGAGAACAGCCTGGGCAACGTAGCGAGACCTCATGTCTACCAAAAGTAGATAAAAAAGAAAAAGGAAACAAAGAAAGAGAAATTGGAGGCTTTGCTGGAAAAAGAGGAGGCACATCACACGTGTGAACCACAGTGTTGCTCTGAGCTGCCTGTCTTTTCTTGATCTGACTTAGCCTGGCAGGGTCACTCATTGCACTCCTGAGCCAAGGTCTGGCCCATGAAGGTGGAACCTGACCTTGGTTCCTCCAGTGCAGGTCTTGTGTTGTGAGTCAGAGCCTCACTCTGTCGCCCAGGCTGGAGTGCAGTGACACCCTCACAGCTCACCGCAACCTGCACCTCCTGGGCTCAGGCAAGCCTTCCACCTCAGCCTCCCGTAGTGGAACTACAGGCGCGTGCCGCCATGCCCAGATAAGAGTTTTATTTTTTGTGGAGACGAGGTCTTGCTCTGTGGCCGAGGCTGGCCTCGACTCCCGGGCTCAAGCAATCCTCCCATCTCAGCCTTCCAAAGTGCTGGGGTGACCACCCACCGTTCCTGGTCCCAGAGCAGTTTTGTTTTTTGGGTTTTTTTTGAGTTGGAGTCTCACTCTGTCGCCCAGACTGGAGTGC